AGGCCACTGGGGGACGACAGCAAGCGGCCGTTGTTCCATCTCGGTCCGCTCCCTGTCCTCGCTATATCACTACTCGGCAGATTTACGCCGGCATGCACGAACTCCGTTCGGCAGAGAACCGCCTGGCGCGCCGGAACATATTATCGGCCAAAGCAAACGCAGCATCAAGGCTCCCAGACAAGTCTAAAGGTGTGAAAAAGCCAGGTGTCCACAATGGGATTGATCTTTCACCACAGAACACAAGTGAGACCACGAAGAATGCACATGCCGGACGTGATGCTGACCACCCAATGTTGTCCCAGAGAAACTCACCCGGTCATTCCAGCTCACCCGGAGACCAACCCGCTCCACAAACCTCGTGTGGCACATATCCGTGCCTTCCAGCGCACCCACCGCCTTCGTCTTATGGGTGCGCCACGTATTCTTCGTCGCCACGTATTCTTCGTCGATTTTAATATTATAACTTTTTTATATTATTTTGACTACACAACATGCCTAAATCTCCTGAATTTAATGAATCCCGCTTGCTTGAAGCTATCGCCACGGCTAAAGCACAAAAAAAACCAAATTACGCGAAGATTGCGCGTGAATTTAATGTCTCTTGTAGTACATTAAAAACGCGCCTTCAAAAAGCGAAAGCACCAACTACACCAACCACGTCAAGTAAAAACCTTCTACAACCATGGCAAGAGGAGGCCTTGATCCAATGGATTGTACAGATGCGGAAATGGAACCTCCCACCTACGGCTTCAGTCATCGCGGCTTGGGCAAACCAGGCGCTTGCTCGCGCGGGCCATCCAGACAAGAAGGTTAGCAAGATGTGGCCATACCGATTCGAATCGCGCGTACCAGCACATCTAGGGCTTGCTCCAGTGAAGCAAAGGACTAAGGAATTAAGGAGGATACAGGCTGAAGATGCTGGCTTGCTTGAATACTGGTACAACCAGCTGAAATTGCTTCTTAATGGGGTCCCTGCTCGTCTTGTATACAACTTCGACGAATGCGGCTTCCAACCAGGTCAAGGCCGTGCGCGAAAGGTCTTTGGATCAAAGTCTTCCTGCCCTGACCTCGCAGAGAGCGAAAAAGGCGAAAATATTACAGCAGTTGAATGTATTAGCGCGGATGGTTGGATAATGGCCCCATTCTTTATATTTAAAGCTGCTGGCAGCTATATGGAGGCCTGGTACAACGGCAGTGAGGCGCTACCACTGGATACAATGACCGCGATATCCCCAAATGGTTGGATATCTGATGAGCTAGCGCTGGCCTGGCTAGTTCAATTTGACCGCGCTACAAAGGATCCCAATCGTACGAAGCAAGGCGAGAAGCGGTATCTAATATTTGACGGCCACGGCGCGCACCTTACGCTTGAATTTCTACAATATTGCAAGGATAGTGATATTATTCCCTTTGGTTTCTTGCCTCATATAACACATCTATGTCAACCTCTTGATGGCAAGCCCTTTCTTGCTTATAAGCAGCAATTCCGGCTCGCGAATAATGAATTATCCTTCTGGGGTGGTCAGCCATATGGGAAGGCAGAGTTCTTACAGATCATTCAACCAATCCGCGAGAAGGCCTTTACACAGCGAATTATTCGAGAATCCTTTAAAGATCGTGGGATCTGGCCGGTTAATGGAGAACAAATCGTCAAGCAGCTTGCCAACGAAGCAGAACTCCCAGATATAGCTCTCCCGGAAGGCCTCCGCGAGACTACACCACCACAATTACTATCTTCCAGCGTTGAAAACAGTCCTCCAGCAACAATTGAAGCACTTACAAGGAACCAGGCGAAGATTATGCGCGATCTAGACCTCCTCTCAGAGAAGACGAAGCGGAATTTAACAAAGGTCTTTCACCACTAGATGATGAAGCTGGAGGAGCTACAGATGACCCAGCAAGCAATCTGTAGAATTAGGGCCGCAAAAGAGCCAAAATACCGGAATAATACAAAGCGACAGATTAAGGTTCTTGGCAGCGACGGGATACTAAGGGTTCAAGATGCTATTCGGTCAATTAAGGTCAGGAAGGAGAAAGATCTTGCGCGCGAGCAGAAGAGGTTATCCAAGCAGTTCAAAAAGGTCTATGGATGGGAGCCCACCACGCGCTCAGAGGAGTCAATTCAGCAAGGAATTGAAAACGCGATACGTGCAGAAGAGGCAGGAGAAGACTTTTATATTGATAAATAGATGTTGTGGTTGTTAAATAGCTTCAAATACTAGAAATCGACGAGGAATATGTGGCGACGAAGAATACGTGGCGCACCCAAACCGGCGAGGCGGTTTGGGTGGGCAGAAAGGCACGGATAGTCTACAGTCTAGCTGGCCGTAAGGGACATTTAAGATCAACTCAAGCTAGGCAAAGGGAATAGGGTATTTACTTCCATCGGACTATATAGGTTTACTGTTACGGACCTAATGGATATGATTGATGTACCTTTAGAACCGAGGCAATGTAGTTAACTGATTACACTTTGCGTATATCAGTATGCACCCCCGAAGCAGCTCCCCCTTCTAAGACCATCTCGAGGATCAAGGATGTGATATCTATAAAGCTTCTTAGTACTGAGATCCATCACATTGGGCGAACTTGGTAAAGAGTGTCCTGAGCTGCCAGGCGTCCGTGTATTGTAATACGCACAGACATTCCTCCCGAGAGGGAGAAGTTCGTTCCACAGACGTCACTTGTCCGACTCGAAAAACTCGTCCCATTGTGACCGTGCGCGGCGCTCTCGGGCGCTCAAGGCATGTATGTCGTTGCGCAGGTCATCTGCAATCGTAGAGACGGATTCTGGTTCCTCGAATGCATTGGAGTGGTAGAGATCCAGCAGCTCGTTCGACGTCTGGAGGATGAGATCTTGACTTTTCTTCAGGAGAGTGTAGCATGTACGATAGTGTGCATTTTGGCCTTGCTGGCGGCCAATCCGACGGACAATCTCGGCAATCTCGTCCATCTCATATGTCCTGGGAGCGATCCGAAGAAACGTTAGAGGGGGATCGTAGTTATTTGCTGCTTGCACTCCCAAACGTACTTTTGACCCGAAGAATGCTGCGCAGTAGCACGGACCATACCGTCCACGGCGTTGCCCTCAAATACAGAACCATGCTGTAGGGCAAAGCGGAGGCGATATTTATGCGGCCATGGTTAAATCGCGGACTAAGTCCTGAATTCAACACAAGGTAATGGGCTTCTAACGTACGTGAGAGCCGAGACAGGGGTTCCCCTTGATTTTGGACGGCCATCCATCTCAATGTCAATTGCAAGACATTGCACCAGCAACGAGGGTTACGATATAGGTTTTTCGACTCCTATTGGGGACGGCTATAAATATCAATGCGTCGCTCCCGAATCTCGCTTTTTATCCTGCGTCCGACTGCCCTGTCTGCTGCGGCTGTGCTGTGATTACTCGCAAAATGGATACTGCCGTAGGTATTTGCCTCCTTCAGCAGGTGCCTCGCTTACTGTGACCAGGACGCCCTCCGTGTAATCTGCGAGCTCAGCGTGCGGGCTCTGCGCGCCCACCGGGAGCAACAGAAGCACACCAAAGAGCATCGAAACCTCCAAGAGGCGTTGCAGCATACCACTTCGGACTTGGAAGAGACGGTCGACTTGGCCGGTCTTCTCTACGACACCAATCAGCGGATGGGAACGGTGATTGACTATCTGTTGAAGGAGCGGGGTACGGCCCCCACTTGGGAATCCCAATCCTTTGAGATCATGCTAGACCGTGTGCTCAACCAGCTTGAGAGCACCGAAGGAGATCGAACGGTTGGGACTAAGTCTCCGACCTCGGCAGAGGACGTCACCATGGCCGAGAATCCTGCATCAACAGGGGATTCGCCCGGGGTGTCAGGTCCGAGATCCGATTTGGCAGATTTAATAAGGTCCTTATAGCTCTCGAGGCTTACAACAGTAACGAAGGGCTGGCGGCGGCTAGACCGTTCATGTCAGAATACTAGATTGATATTTATAACACCCAAGGTCTACAACAAGAGTTCAAGTCTCGGTTATCACTTACAGGTGTGTGGATGTGAGAGTGACTTCGAAAGCTGACTTGTACCCAGACAGCAAGTGGTTGAGAATGTCGATATTGCCACCCATGTATCGTAATCTGGCTAAACCTTAAGGGCTGACACTCCTATCATCCAAGCAAGGCAGGTGTTTCCTAATCTCCTCTATGAACTTGTTACAAGCGATGCCGCACCGTGATAAGATAAATCGACGTGCAGCTAAATCAATATTGATAGCTATCCCGCATGTATCGCTAAGCGGGCCTAAAACCTCCATTAAAGCTCGAAGACCTCGTAAAATATCCCGGACAGATGTTGGAAGTGACTGGAACGTGTCCATCGTGCGGTATAGTGCATTGCTGGCGCTAAAGGCGAAAGTAGCCAAGGTTGATGGTGTGTAGTCCAGACTGGGAGTGTTTTCTATGGCCGTGATTTACTTATCTGATAAAAAGCATGAGAGAAGGTGCTAGTTATTACTTAGTAATTAATAAGATAAAGCTCTTACTAAAGTTTTCCTAGTGCCTATTAACCAAGAAGAAACCAAACCTGACTTGGCGGGTGAATTATGCTAAACGATTCACGTGATGTACCCTAGAAATTAGATGTGACTTGCTAAGAAGCTAGTAGTTTACTTTCCCATTTATCTCTTTTTAGGATGCATACGAACCACAAAACTGCATACTCGATCTAATCCCGTTCAGCCGCGTCCTGGGACCTGGGTTGACTGCTGTTCAATAGTTAAAAGGGATGCCCGCAAACCATTTTCTTTAATCGAATATTAAGGTGGACTAATAATTTTGTTTATTAAACATCAAGACTAACCTTGGTTTCTGCTACATCTAGCTAGACTTTGCGGGGATCTGGCTGATATTGTGGGTATCAAGGCAAGGTAGACTTTTGCATGGTCATTCTTGGTTGTATGCTAAATTTATTGCACAGCTTTTGTCTGCTGATGACTGTTGAACACTGACTAACTATGTTGAGCGGAAGGTGGGTCAGGTAGATTCGGCTAGTGGAGGGCTTGTCTAGGCGGACAAGCAAAGAAAGAGTTGAACACATCTTGATCAGCGTAGATAATTAGCAGGAAAGAATCCACCAACGACCCACATGGCTAACCAGCGCAGACAGACTGACCCACCTTCCCCGAGTGCTGAACACTTCGTCCCTGCTCGAGTCCCGCTTCTTCCACTGAATGGATCCACCTGGCCCACCACCTCGGCGCCATCGCACGCCATCGCAGTCCACTCAACACAAGGTCAGTGTTCAACAGTCGTAGAATAAACCTAGCAGACAAACGCAACGCAAACAAGGCTAGCATCGTCCGCAAACTCAGATGGTCGGCAGGAAACAGTCAACCCTGCCATTCGGCATTGTTGAACGCTGACTGATTAAGAAGACCGTCGGTTCCTGAATGTGCGCCCCTGATGATCGTACGTAATTACCCTAAACTATGTTTATGTGTTGAACCTGCTTCCAATCTTGGTTGTTGTCTAAGCTTTCAAGTGTTTATCCACCAAAGGCCGGATAAAGATCAACTTGTTACTCAAACCCAGTTATCAGTCTGCGTTATCTAGTAGCTCACCTTGCCTCTTACCTCCTGCCTTCCTCGAATAGACCCAGTGGCCTATTCGCGTCATTGGAACTAAATAGAGAACTTTTTAAGACCTCAATATTTCTTCAGGGTATGTTCAATTGTTATGCACACGACGGGCCATGTGCACAATTCTGGGCAGGAGGGTACTTGACCGAGGAAGCCTCTGGCGCGAGCTATGTCCCCGTGGGGCAGAGCCAAGCCAAACTTGTCTCCACCCAATACTAGATAGATGGCTGTTCAACATTGTTGAACACCCTTTTTGACTGTTCGAACTGTCAAACGTTTGTTGGCTGCCTGAACACTTTTCGGACTGTTGAACACCTTTTGACCGTTAATCTCAACCCCCACCTGTAAAAGCATTATGCGATACTCATTATATTCTTTTTTTTTTTTTTATGGAACCCTTTCATTCGCCATCCAGTATTGCGCGACAGCCAAGGTTTAGATAGATTTGGTTACAAACTTATAAATACCTTCCTTATTCCTCTCCCAAAACGTCCTTTGATTTTCTATGGTTATCAAAGAAAACAGGCATTATATGCTTCAAATCCCTGAACTCTCTTTAAGTCTTCCAATTATGTACTCCGGTAGCGGCCTGGTTGAGCCTAACAGCAGATGTCATTTCCCATCCAATCCAATTTCCCATCCGAGCCTCATGATAACATCCTCTATGCCACCTCCCCCGGGGTTTGCAATCCCACCAACCTATTTCGGTCAAGGTATTGTGATGCGGTGACTTAACTATTAGGCTATAGCTAACTAATTAATTTCACAGTTCCAATAATAGCACAGCCGCAGCCTCATGCTTGACTCACGTACCTTTGATTGGTTGCAGTTGCTAAAAGTTGTGGACGGGCTGTTTGTGTAGATGATGTCTGTAGGATAGGTACAACGTATTAGTCCTCGCCACAAAAACGTAATAAACTTCTTCCGCACCTTTCGTTTTGCAGCCTCTGAGACTTTAGAAGAAATGATGGTCGTAAACTATCCGCACGAATTCCACCTTCCTTACCCCGCTATTTAAGCCAACCTCCTCTTCAAAAGAGTGCTGAGCTAATATTGACAGGTGGGTAAGGTGTGCTACTACTGATTAGCCAAAAGATGCATACCCATGCTGATTCCTCCTGCGGTTATCTGCAAAGGGCATTCATTCAGAGCCAATGGCAGTAGAGGGCGAAAAAAGCGCTAACAGGACTGATCAAGGAGCTGGCAAAAGCAGCATCAGTTGTTCCTGGGCAGTAAGTATATAATAGCCTTATTTGCGAATTAATCAGCCGGTCTCCAGTACTTATCTCCATGTTTTGTTTTATCCTCTAACGCCACTGTTAAACATGCCCCGCTTTGAACAAGTTTGAGAAGTAAAAGTGGGGTTTCAGATTCTGGATCCAGTTGCTACGCGATTCGCTGTCACTCACCAGGGCCAATGCGGCCCAAGCCCCTCTTCGTGTAGCTGGCTCATATTATAGTAAGCGCTAAGTGCCTAGTTACAGCTTATAATTGGCGACCGAGGGGGCTCAACTGACTCTTTTCATTATATACTCGGTAAATCACTTGAAAGCCGCTTTACTCTCCATAGTTAACGAAGTCCGATGACAAAGACGGCACACAGAGTTCAATATTTACAGTTCGTTTTGAGAATGTAATGGCAAATTCAGGCACAAATGATGTTAGTTCTGGGTATGTTATGTTGCCTGTCCTTTGAATCTTGAGGCAGTGGAACTGCCTGAGCGAAATCTCCTCATCATAGGATAGGTCCGTTTCCATGAACATGTATGTCCGCGAACGCCATTTTCAGTGATCTAGCCTTCAAGCCTTAAGGCTAGTAGTATAGTATTCTTGAGCAACTTCTCTTTTGACAGAACCTGCTTACTCATCCAATCGCGGCCACATCCCAGGATACTGCCTCGACACCGCCTTCAAAAGATACTCTCCCAGCAATAGCCAATTAGAACGATGCAAAATAAGCCGAGTGCAGCTTTTATTAGGATTTGTCTTCCTTCAGCATCCGGAGTAAACGACAGGTCGAGCAACTTTTCGCAATACCAGGCCTGGGTGTCCAAAGAGGCCCTTGGCTGAGCACAAGGTGGTGTCCCGGCAAACTCCAGGTGACTAGTCCCTCCAGAATCCACTTCTGTCGTCCTCAAATCTCTTCGATCGAGCTGCCCCACGTTCTTTTTCTCGGGCGGTTATCACGAAGATGAAAGATCCAGAATTAAAAGTCGTCAGGGCACATGCAGCTGGTACCTAGGCAGTGCTCAGCCACCCAATTCAAATGAGGAAGTTGCGTTGAGTCACAGCATTAAACATCGACCATGTCCTTCTATTCTTCCCACTCTCCTCCGCCAGTTGTTCGCTTAATAACTAGATAGCTGACTCTGTTCCATGATATCCTCATTACGAAAGACGGCTCCAGCGCCAATCAAGAGAAGCGGAAGTGAGAGAAAGTAATTATCATTTTTCTCTTTTGCCACGAAAATGGGGTAACTAGATATTCTTGCCTGCAGGTACTCCTGCACACAAACGACGTCCTCACCGACCGCGTACGCCGGCCACTTGATTGGCCCTCATAGCACAAGTATCAGGCGTAGCCCTGCTCCTGAGGCGGCACATTTGAACAAGGATACTTCCGGTCAAGCTGAAAGGAACGGAAAGGAACGTCGCAGTGGATGCAGCAGAAAGGCATGGATCCCGCCTAGCGACCAAGCTGCCAGACTCGCTCGCCAACTTTTGCGGCGCAGTAGGTCCAACAATTGGAACAACGAACCCAACACGGCCAACGCTCTCCACAGCCGGCGTCAGGTCGGCGTCAGGGTTCGGTGTGGGCTCAGTGGGCGGACCCCGGACGAGGGCTTAAAAGATGCTGAGTCCCTAGTATCCCTAGGTAATAAATGACTTGAACCCAAATTATCTCTCCCTGGTTGGCTCCGTGCTCCATTTTAGGATACGGTCTAGAGCTGCTGGGCATTGTCAAAGAAAGACAAAGAAAATTGGCAAATCGGAGCAATGTGACCTGGTTATTTTATTTCCATAATTATTATTCTTCCCATAATAATTATAATTATTGTGAGCGTCCAAGCACAAGGCTAGCCACTATCTACTGCCAGCGCGCCAGCGCTAGCCTTGCCTAGACATATCGCGTTTCTTTCTTCTTTCTTCTGCTGCTCCCTGGTTGCTTGTTTCTTTCTTCGTAATCCTCTTCGCCCCCTCACTCCGTTCTCTTTCATTGCTTCTCGCCCGTTGCCTCTTCCATTCATCTCCGCCTTCTCCTCTTTGGCTTTCTTAATAAATGTCTTACGATCGAGTTCTCCCCAAGCCTGTTGCTCAGCATTATGATTCACCCCAAGTCTCTCTATCAAGGCCAACCAGCAACCTACTCGAACACAAGATCATGAACGACGACATTGTCATGGCCGAGCATCGGCCAGAGCCTGTCCCTACTCCCTCTTATCGTTACGCAGAGAGTCTGCCTAAGGTCAACCTGCTGTCGCTCCATCGGTCCAGAGTTGGCGGGAACCAGGCGTCTCCTTCGCCCCCAACTCCCCTCGAAGCTCCCAGACCAGCCACTGCTCTGTCGTCCAAGACCGTCCTGTATCGAGACCAGTCTTCAGTGTCCGAGCGTTCATCGTCTTCCAGCCCAGTAAAGTCGGCAGCTCCCACTCAGCCACCCAGTTCTGTCTATGTGAACCGGACCACAAGATTGCTCGACCACGTAATTGTATGTTCTTCTCTCAAGAATGAGAGCTGTGAGCAACTTGCTGACTCTTGTTCACCCTTCAGGTTTCATTCTCTACCGTCAGCATTATCAGGCAGCGGTGGTAGCCCAGAACCCAGGTCTGGCTCATTCAGATATCTCCAAGATCATTGGCGAGCAATGGAGAAAGCTCCCTCAGGCAACCAAAGATGAGTGGAAGAATTTTGCAGAGGTAATTGCAAACCGGGCTGCAGTAGTTCTGCATCGCTGTTCGCCTTGCTAATGAGGCCGGTCTAGGAGGAGAAAGCAAGGCACCGACAACAGCACCCTAAATACCAATATCAGCCCCGCCGTTATGGTCGCGATGGGACTCCAAGAAGCTTCAGCTCATAGATCAGTCATAACCCACCAGGTTTAACCATCTGCAACCGATGTGGCGGTCGTATCATGAACTCGCCCACCTCCCCAGGCACTACTTTTAGCGGCTCGATGGCGAGTGGGAGACATTCAGATGCGCCACTGCCGAGGGGTTATAGTTCCGACCCAAGGTCAATGAAGGCTGAGACCCAGGGAGAGCCGCGATCGTCTCGGCAGCGTCAGTGGGATGAGAACGGACCCCAATCGCCAGACTTGAAACGACGACGGACCAGCCCTCATCTGCCATACAGAACAGACTATCATCGCGATAGGAGCCCCACAGGCGCCCCATACTCAATACCATCTCACGCAGGTCGGTCAGAAGTATAAGCGCACGAGGACTTGCCCAGACAATGCAAGCACAACGAGGCCTTCGTCCAGTGGAAGAACATCCGGGCCCGGACCCAAGCCTAAAATTTCTGCCGTTACAAACTTCAGCCTCCGTGGTAGATTCCATCACACCCGTCTCCGCTTACCCGCAGGAAGGTATGATTGCAGAGGCAGCAATAAAAAGCATTCCATTCCTGGGTAGGATCAAGCTTCTTGCCAAGATAGCACCACCTTTACCTTTTTCCGCGGAGGGGATACTAGACGCCGAGGCCCTGTGATCGCAGTTGATGGACGAGACGCAACATTAGTGAAGACCATTACGAAATATCTAAGTCACGCTTTGAGTAATGAAGGAAAGTTCTACACCCGCATTTTCGAAGGTCCTGATAGTCAACCTGGCCGAGAAAGCAGCACAGAACCGGAGGAAATGAACGAAGGTGCCGTCGCGTATATCAGACTTATCTGGGCATGGTATCACATATCGGACGAAGTAAAAAGCTTCGTCAAGTTGAAAGCTCCGCATCGCTCCTTCTGAGATGGTTGTTGCTGTCCCTTCCGTCGTCTCACCTGATCAGTCATGTGGTTCGTGCCCCTGCCAAGCAATATAACCAGTATGTAAGATGGCCTTTCATTTGGCTGGCTCACGCGTCCTCCACAAACAGTCACTTCGCCCTGACGCGTTCCAACGGGCAATCCTTCGCGTCACTGACCAGGCATGTCATCGCGTATTTTCGTTCAACGTCCCGGAACCTTCAAGATGAGGTCGTCTATCATGTGAATATTCCCTTCTATTTCCCCGGCCCCGCTTCGCCCGCCTCCGCAGATTTCGAGACGTGTCCTCAAACGAGGCAGGGCAAAGCCAGGGAGCAAAGAATGCTATCCAAGGGACTCAGACCGCCGGACAGCCAGGAAGGCGCCTAAGGGCGGTGGACCGCGTCTGACCAGAGCTCCTTCAACTTCAAACACCATTCAATCTTGCCCTCGTTAGCTGTTTTCCACCCACCCCCGGCAGTAAGTGCTTCCTGGATCACTGACTGACGCTCTGAATCGACCGCAGCTACACGAGAGACGGCCAAGCGTAAGGCTGGCGATCGGATGGGCAGGGTTCACCTCTAGTAACAGGCCCTGTGAGAAATATCAATATCAGACACGATTTCCGGTCGCATGATTGCAGAATTTGTGGCAGCCATCTCGACATCCGCTGGAGATCATCGGAAATGCCCTGAGCTCTAGTACTCGGGTGCCAGGTGCCGCACGCGACACAACGGGCTGTGACACCAGGCTGTCGTCCGCGCGAAGCGTTTGCCCGAACGAAGATGACTGTTTGCACTCAGGCATGGGTAGCCGCTATTTCGATCGTCAGGTCAGATTCGGCCGACTGTCCGGCATAAAATGACCGCCAGTCGACAGCCTGAACCGTTGTTTGCATCCACTCTCGCACCGCAATCGCAACATGAACTGGCGAGACGGGATTTGGTTATGGGTCTTGTGCAAGCTTGGAGTGCACACTTCCCTGGCCTCGAGGTATGCCCACTTTCTGGACAGCCCGCCTGACGTGCCCAGCGTCCCGGACCAAGATGGCCCTATAAACCACCGGCGCGTCACGTACGTGTCACGGGTCCCTGATTCCAGGGTCGGCTTGGCCCAAGCCCGGTCCCGCCGAGGCGCTAATGCACCGGTCTCGTCGGCTGCACCGTCTGGCCGGTTACGATGCCAACGTTGCAGCGGCCTGCGTTCGCGGACCTACCATTGCCGACACTACCGCGATCCAATGGCGTATCCTGCGATAGGAGTTTGTTTCTCGCCGTCGGACGGGCTGCGTAAACGCGAGTACGCTGAAGGAGCAGATAACTGTGGACAGTGGCGCTATGGAACGTGCGATTGCGGAATTACCGGGCTGGAGGAATGCGTTGGACCGGGGGTGACCGTTGTTGCGCGAGGGATGGAAGTCGATTATGTTAGCACGGGTGTTCGTCAAGACCCATTGGACGTGGCTTCTGGATGGTCCCGCAGTGTCGGCCACCGTTGTGTCAGCGTTCGACCACCGATGACACGGCTCAACGTCAAGATCCAGGAGCCGGAGGTCATCGCTCAAGTTGGGCTGAACGATCGCCGTGACCTGGTTGCGGATCGACTGTCGAGCACAGATTGGAGTCAGTGATCCGTTAGCATGGCTTCATCGGACGCATCAGCTTTTCCCAAACCTCGAAGTGGGTTCATACCGCTGACCGACATACTTCCCCGACGCGCTCAGGTATGTCCTTATCGTCTGTGCCACATCTACAGACCTTTTCATGAATCGAACCCTCGCGCCCGGGTTCCGCGAGGGCTCATTCTTGCGGTTTCGACGGTAGTAGAGGACGAATCGGAGGATCTATCACGGTCAGCCTATGGATCGCGGGCTGGTCGGCGGTTGTGGTACCTTGAATTCTTGGCGATCGAGGTTCAGCAAATGCTGCATGTTCACCCCTGTCAAAGAACGATCGGTCACTTTGGAAGATGTCCAAGGAGCGGCCAGCGCAAGTACGGCTTGAACAGCAATGTAAAGACCGGCGCAGTTGAAGGATTCTAATATAATCTCAGCGGTGTTTTCACGGTTCTCCGGGGGGTTCAGAGGCTATGCGCAGGATACAAGTCGGTGGTTTGCTTAAACGATCATAACAGCATATTAAATAGGTAGCAAGCTGGAACTCACATGTTTCGGTGAGTAGGAAGTGATGATCCTCGGGCTCGACGTGCAGGTACTTGAAGATCGAGTTCGACCAGAACTGCTCCATCTGATCCCAATTCTCGATCTGACCATGGCGAATGGGGTAATTGATGCCGTTCCAGGGCCGCTGGCAGCGGACAGAGCCTCATCGCCAACGAAGAAGTCCAAGTCCTCCGTACCACGCTTCGCGAAGAGATGTGAGCTTCCACCACCCCAGGCCAAAAAGGAAGGTTTATTTGCGACGGCGGGTCGTGAACTACCTCCAGCACTTCCAGCACCCGCCTTTTCAGCAATTACGGTCGGGAAGACGAACGAGGGGGAGTCGTTACCGGCGAATCCTGAGGGATGTCAACTCTGGGAGTTCAGTGCGGGGGATTGTCCGGGAAGGCGGAGGAAGATGGGATGTACCAAGCTTTGAATACCCAGTTCCGCTAAACAATAGAAAATATACAGTTAGCTGCAGTTCCGCGCGGTGTTTCTTTGTCTATAACTGCTGTGGGAAATGACATACTTGTCCAGTTTGGGAAGCCATGACAGGCGATTCGGGGGGCACACACACTGCCCCTGGCTACCAATTCGCGGGACAAATAACGACGAGGTAGGTCTGTATGAGCAGGCAGACCTGGAGGCTGGAGAGAACAAGAGACAGAAATTATAGGAAGCTGGGGTGGTTGGGGAACAAGTATGGACAGCGACGACATGTCTGCGTGTACAAGGGTCATACTATGGAAACTTTCAGGGAATAGTTCTTATGAGACGCCACACAGGCATCGTACGAGGTGATTTGTTGATTGTTCCTAAACACAGGTATATGCATCGCCAGAAACGCTGCAGGCTGTTTGACACGAGCTGTGGTATTCCTATGTGCCCCGGACATCGCAGACAGAAATCTGATTATCTTGGCACCTGTATGTGTTAGGTTTACACGGGGTGCCGGTCGTAGTCGGGCTATTAGCCGGGCTGTGGGTTATGTTGGCGCTAATTGGGGCACCACTCGTGGTAGGGGTAGCTGACGAGGGAACTGGACCATCACACTCCAAAACGCCATCTCGATTAGTGAGAAATTCATCTACAACGGAGTTAGTTCTGTATTCAGCGTCGGCCGACAGGCATGCCTGACCTAACCGATATCCAGCGGAAGAGCCTCCATTGGCCCAGCGGATGTGACACGTCGCCAAGTGTTCCTCCGCGTCATAGTCACAATAATCCCAGCGGCAAACTGAATTGAATCGAGAATAGCAGGCGTGACAGTCTTCAAGGTTGATAGATGCGTCAACCCAAGACTTATCGATTCCGCGGCATGATGCTTCGAGAATTCCGGTGTTATTAAGTACACGGATTTCATTGCACGTCTGCGAAAAGTTTTGGGCTGCAGCCAGAGCGAAGAAGAGAAAAAACATGCTCAGAACTTCTTGGAATATGGCTGGCTCTGGAAGACGTCCGTTTCCGGGGAAATATAAGAGAAGCCGAGAGCATAAGCGTGAATGCTAATTCAAGCAGTGCCTAGAAAAAGCAGCGTTTGCAAAATATAAATTGTTCCGTATTTCGCCGCTCAAATTCCAGGCAGGCTAGAAAACTCCATGATCAAGCTCATTAGCTTAATCCCAAAACTCCTTGATATGAACCAGCGAGTGCGGGGCGGTGAAGGGGACGCTATAAACAAGAAGCCAC